AGTTGTTGGTTTTGCATTTACAGGATAAAAATGCCAACAGGGATTTTGGATCTGGATCTTTCAACGTTGTGACTGGAGTAATGCCTGTTTTTGTTTTCTTCTAACCCCATTCTTCGGCATCTTTGGTACAACCAGAGCAATGCTGAACCTGGTGGTAAGTTCGCAATGAATGCTGTCCAGCACGACAATTAATTATTCATAAATTAATGAGCGAATTAATGATACGCCACTGTTTCATGACAAAATTGAAGAAACTAAGCTAAAACTAGTTTTAGTGAACCCTAATCGACATTTGATTTCGGAAAATCGACAATACATAATATATCATATTTTACGCAAAATTGTAAAATTTCCAGGGATTTTGTGCCTAAACGGTTGACTTTAGCGAAAATTTTCATAAAAACTTTTTTATAGGAAATTTTATTCTCTTTAATTTTTCTCTCCTCAAATTTTCGCGAAAAATGCATAGTTTTTGAGATATTCACAAAATGCCGATTTTGGGCGCCATCTTGGCAAGATGGCGGCGCCGGTGGCAAGTCTGGAAATGTGCATTTTATGGATTTTAGTTAGGGACCCCAAAAGCTATAAACGTGCAAAGTTTCAAAACTTCCGGACTTTTTTCCAAGCAGGCCCCTTTTTTGATCCCCAATGACTGAACTATTAAGCCTTTTTTAGTTTAAATCATTTTAAAGACTTTTTTTGAAAGCTGCCTTAAGACTTAAAATTTGAGTAATTTTCAAAATGATTTGTGATTTAATACTTTATTTCAAAATAGAAAAAGAATTGAGTCATCAAAAATATTTAAATCATTTTATAAAATACTTAAGTCTGCTTTTTATATATTTTTATGATACATTTTTAATAGCAGCAATTCTTTTTAAACTATTAGGCAGCAGCCAGGCAGAAGATAAAAAAGAACACTCCGTACCACTAGTAAATAAAAAGCTAGTTATTTGGAACCGGTTTTGATTATCTCTAATGTTACATGTACTAAGTCTGTTGTCTTTCAAGCGAATCAAGTGAATCCCCGACACCGTTATATAGCCCTAAAGACTAATAAAAAAAAAAAAATATTGAAGAGTACCTTAAAATCCTCTGGCCTTAGCTTATATCATCGACATCAGAGTGTGTCAAAAAAATCGACTAATTTTTTTCACTACTTATATACTCTGAAAAATTAATCTTAAATTGTTAAAAAAAAGTTTTTTTTATTCGAAATTTAATGAATCATTGACTCTAAATTAGGAAAAATGCAATAATATAATGTACCCAAACACGCTTAGGACTAAAAAAAGACTAGAAAAATGTACAAGAAAATTGTACAAATTTCCCGGAATTCATAAAATAAATTGGAATTGTTCAAATTTATTAGTCAAAAACTGTTAAAATTGTTGTTCATTGAGGTTTGACGATGAATATCTTTTAACCTTTCCGGGACCGTACGGGGTATTTTAGGTACCCCAGATGAGTTTTTTCTTCAATAACTTTTACAATTTTTATTTCTCACTTTTTTCCTATCAGGTAATCCTAGAAAAATATTTCAAAACCCTTTTTTAACAAAAATAGCAAAATAATTTTTTTATTTTCCGCGAAAAACTGAAATTTACTGCCTGGGGTACCTCCGTTACCTCGCACGGCCTGCAGTGATTCCTCCTACACGCACTATTCATGTTTTTTCGTGTTGGTGACTTTATCTGAAGACGTAAACAAGTTCTATATTGAGTTTAGTGTTGGTATTTACTGTGATATAGTAAGTTAGTGTGTGTATTTATTGAAAAATGGCGCAAAAGGAATATACTGATGATGGGCTAACAATAAAGAAATTCCTGCCGAATTCGCTTCGAGATCTGCGAAGAGCAATCCTTCAGCACAAGGACTTGTACTTCTAAACGTTCTAAGAATTAAATAAAATAGTAACAAGTTTCACAAAACTGTAAAAACAGCAATAAAATTATATCTTGCCCAAAGCACAGTTCCTATAAATCCTGCTAAAGAGATTCAACCTAATTCAAACCGAAGATGCGGCTTTCGCACCAGATCACCTAAGAGAAAAACAAAAATATTATGTAATACATGCAAAAACTCCATTTTTAATATTCTCGGCAAAGAATCTAAAACGTTTTTATGCTCTGACTGCCAAAATAATATGTAGAAAACTAATAAGAGTTTAGTTTTAAAATTAAATGTTTTTTATATTATTAAAATTTACAAATAATTACTAATAATTTACCTGAGTGACAAAATATTAATAGTTTTTGAAATATTTCAGTGGGGTATCGTAGTTACCCCACAGGGCCTGAAATGTAAATTTTTGTAGCACGGTCCCGGAAAGGTTAAACGGTTAATTTAATCGACTAATCATCCTAACTGCCTAAAAATAATCAAACCTCAATCTTTAATAATTTTCGAACGGTGAGGTTTATAAAAAAATTGTAAGAGACCTATTTTTGTAGAGAATTCAATTTCCTACAAATATATGAGACAGATATTTTATGTCATTTGTTGAAATTACTGTGTCTATAAGAATAGAAAATTACCACCAGTAGTACTCTTTACCCTAATGGAAAGTATTATTTCAGGGCTATTACCGAATTTTCCACTATCACCATTTGTTTTCGCATTAAAATGTATATAAGTACTTCAAAGTATGTAATTATTTCAAAAAAAAAGGTTTACCAATGTTCTAAAAAATAAACAACATATAAATAAATAAATGCCTTTGTTGTCAAAAAAATGTACAATTTGTAGACAAAGGTAAAGTAAACAAACAAAAGAGAATACAAAAGAAGCATACAAATTACATTGTCAGTCTTATTGTTTAAAATAAACATTTATAAATGTTTACAATGTCAAAGAATAAAAAATAAAAGTAAGATTCAAAAATATTTGGTAAGTTTATAGTAAATAATATAGTAATATAGATTTTACGGCGTCAATGGTGGTGTTGTTAAGTACGAAAGGCTGCAGCGAGTTTTTATACGACAAAGCTTTAGTTTTAGAAATGTTGAAACTCAGGAGGTTCGAATCGCATTAAGATTTAATGGTGATTAAGTCATTTGATATAATCCTATGAAATGCTGTGACGTCCTTGTTGCTCCAAGTGAAGCTAGTGTCGTCCGCAAAAAGACATATTTTACCACTGATTTTTATGTTAGCAATGTCGTTAGTAAAAAGAAGAAACTAAACAGGACCTAGTACTGAACCTTGAGATACTCCACATTTTATTGGCTTGCTAGAAGATAACGTGGTATCCATCCTCACAAGTTGACTTCTGTTGCTCAGATACGACTTAAGCCATTCAAGAGATGTTCCCCTGAATCCATAGTGTTGCAGTTTATTAATTAGGATCTTATGACTTACACAGTCGAACGCCTTAGAAAAATCACAGAAAATTGTTGCTGTAAAATGATGGTTATTTAGGCTGGAGTAAACTTTATTAAGGAGGGAAAACATAGCGTCATTTGTGGACTTGTTGCTTAGAAATCCAAATTGATGTTCAGTAAGTATTTTGTACTTATAAACAGAAAAGATACCAGTCTTCTTTTAACCCAACCTTTCTATGATCTTAGATAGCGTTGGAAGGAGTGCAATTGGGCGATAGTTAGAAGCTTGATATTGTCACCTCATTTATGCAGAGGAATGATTATTGCCATCTTAAGACATTTTGGAAAAATACCATTTTGGAATGGCATGTTTATTAAAGTAGTTATGTGATTCAGAGTGCTTTCTGGCAGATTCGAAAACATTTTTAAAGTTAGCCCGTCGGTCCCAGATGAAGATTTATTTTTGATGGTATTAATTGTACTGCGAGGCTCTTCTAAAACTACGGGCGAAAAAAAGAAACTGTGTAAGTTTACATTATCATTAGAGAGATATCAAAGTGAATCATGAGAAGGACATATGTTATTAGTTAAATTTTTGGCTACATTTACAAAGTAATCGTTAAGGTTCTCAGGTGAGGTAGAGATATCGCTAGACGAAGAAGCTTTGTTTCCATTCACAACAGACCATATATCTTTAGCAACATTACCAGAATTGGCGATTCTCCTATTATAATAAAGGTCCTTAGCGGCTCTTATAGTCTTATGATAAATTTCTGTAAAGTTTTACGTAATTGTGGAAAAAGACACTGTCTGAGAATTTTTTTAAGTGAAATAATGAACGCATGCTTTAAGAAGATATGCGTAGACCTTTAGTGGTCCAAGGTTTATTATGCTTATTTTTGATAGGCTTAAGAGGAAAGGATTTGAACGCTAAACTGGTTAATGTTTTTACGAAAATAGAAAATTCGGTGTCGACATCATAAGAGCGAGTATCCCAGTTGGTTTTTTTATAAAAGTGGCTAAATTTTTGAGCATTCTCTTCTGAAAAAATACGGCATAGTTTACAAGGGGCATTTTTGATTTTGGAATTTATCGAAAATTTAGTTAAAACTGCTTCATGATCAGAGAGACCCGAGCTAAAGACGTTGCAGGCGATGGAGTTAGGATCAAAAGATGACACAACATAGTCTATAGTACTATAACTGGTTTTGGATATTCTGATAGGTGAGCCTAGATGCATGGCCATTCAAAAAGAATAAAAAAAGGACTGAAGAAACTCCTGAGCAACGCATATGTATGTATATTATTTTTATTTGCGATTTCGAGAGCTATAACTTCTTTGGGAAACATTTTAGGATGTTCATAGGAACTTTTTCAGTTATTTTTATTTGTAGAATAAACCACACCGAAGTTAGATACACTATTTTTTGAAACCCTGTATAACGAAGAACTTTCAGGGATTCTTTCTACTTCTCTTTTTTGTTGTTTTTCTCTGCTTGGTTTTACAGAAATTATTATCACCCTGTCACTAAAATTTCCAACACATGTTTTTCTATTTTTCCTCTCATATTTACATGCTTAACTACTCTACACCGCGATACATCACCGCCCACACAAGCAATCTTCTATTTGCGGATTATATTCTAAATCGTTAGCGTTTACATGCCGTTTACTTACTTGATATCTATCGAGAGCGATCGCTGTGATGGATAGAGTGGAAACGTAGGTACTCGTAGCCTGCAAGATGCCGATCAGTTTACACACGAACAGGTAGTTGCCTAATGGAAAATATTTCGTTAAGATTTCCATTAAGGTGAGTGGCATTGTGACGGTGCACAGCAATAAATCTGCCACCGCCAGGTTGAATATAAACATGTTGCGAGGCGTGCGCATTAAGGCTTTTCTCACCACCGAGATTATCTGAAACAGAAAATAATTTTATTCAGATACAAGTATTAAGCTTACGAATTAAAATCGAATAAAACACAATATATTTTTGCGAGTAATAGTTCGAAATATTTTGGCGTAGGTGTGATACGCATCGGGTATTTTTTTCAAAAAAAGAATAGTACGCCACTGATAAAGATAAAATTTCGAAGTTTTTTTTATTTACTCGGTTTATTTCCAAAAAGAAATGTCTTGCAACTTTCTCCTATCTAACACCATTTTGTCACAATTTAAAAATAAATATTTTTTTTTAATGAGAACCTTAAATATGCGAATTATTATAACTACCTTAAAACTGAGAATTTTATTATTAACAATATAAACAATTTTAAGTTTAAATTTATATTTTTTTAAAGATTTATTTAAGGGGCTAATGTAAAAAGTACTAAAGTTACCCAAGCTGTGTAACTTTCTGTATGCACATGTATTTCTGCCCTATAGTTATAATAATTCGCTGTATTTAAGATTCTCATTAAAAAAATATATTTTTAAATTGTGGCAAAATGGTGTTACATAGGAGAAAGTTGCAAGAGACTCTAAAATTTTATTTTTTCAGTGGCGTACTATTTCTTTTTTTGAAAAAATATCCGATGCGTATCACATCTACGCCACTGGTTGAAACTAAAACCTCTTCTTTTTATATTTAAAGTGTCTCTGTTAGGTAGACTTCTATAATAAAATTTTATAACGATAACTTCAACTGTTAAAAAACTATTAAAGAATATCTTTAATTTTTCAAGAACTTTAACACCCTGTATCTTACGTAAAAAGCATTCCGACCCATAGTGTGCTATATCAAAATTAATATTTCGACGTCATCTATCATTCCCCGAAAGCATGACCGACATACAGGAATCACCCTGTATATTTAAATATTTTTTCTTCTTACAGTGCCATACTCTATATAGAGCGTTGGCTACCTCTCGCATGTACTTGTGATTGGTGTCATCAGTGTTTCACAAGTACACGGGACCTACAGTGTATTACCGAATCCGAACGGCACTATTTGAGAGGCTGTACAAAGCAAATATACTCAAGGTGGTTTGCCATGTCTTCCTTGAGGTGGCGGCGCGTTGCTCGCTCTCTTTAGATAAATATTTCTATTTAAATAAATAAAGCGACCGTACTGGCTGGGGATCGAACCCAGTACCTTCCGCTCCGCAGATCGACACACTAACGCTGGAGCTACGGCCGGCCACAAATATTTTTTATTAAAGAAGAATTTACCTAAAATGTAAGGGTTTTGGCATAATATTTCACTTTATTTCATTTTAAATTGTAATTAGCCCCGTATATAGTTTGATATTTAGTTGAAATAACTTGTTGTACTTTAAATGCAATTAAAACTTGGCCCGAATTGTTATACATTGTGAGAAAAAAATAATATTGAACATTGGCCACTTTTAAAGGCATTTGCCTTTTAAATGCATTTATCGTTTATTTCAAAAGGAACATCCAAAATATTATCCTGACAATTAGTGGATACTTCATATATCTTTAAAATACTCTTAAGGTTGTCTACCCTATAAAAAAAATTTTAATAGATATTTTCATTTTTATGATTTAGTGACCAGTTGATATTTATTAATTGATACATAATATAGGTGGCTGTGATAAAACTTTTGTTAATTTAACAAAAATTAAAGGATGTAGAGTAAAGTATTCAACGGTAGTAAAAAGATACAGGTTTAGGCCATATTTTAATTATTACAGAATTCAAACTAGATATAACCGTATAATTATGTGACACAAATGAGCTAGATGAAATCATATGCTCAAAATGCTTCCTTTCCTGATTACTACAAAAAATGATTCGCTTTCAAAAGATCTTTTCAAGTTGCTACTTATAGCAGCCACAATCGTTTTTCTCATGTTCTCGGCAATAGTTGGTCAAGAGCATAAGAAAAAAGATTGTGGCTTAAAAACATTGTCTGTAACATATCCCAATAAAAAAGTCCACACTAGATAAATCAATATCGCATCAATAAAGCATTCTATTAACTACTGTTAAATGCACACTGGGGTTACCAACTAATAGAATCATATCAATTCTCTCTGATGTAGGATAAGTTTCCATTTTCGGAATATTTCTGAGATTTGTTTTTTATTTTAACTGACCCAAAATGATAACAAGGTGTTAAAGATAAACTAATTTGACAGCTATGTTGAAGTAACGTCAGAAATATCAGAACCACCAAATACATTTTATCAAATATAATAAAGATCTACTGACACTAAATAATAAAAATGAAAATATCTAGAAAACTCGTTGTTTCAGGGATAGGCAACCTTAATAGCAATTTGAAGAGACAAGAATTACCCATTGAATATAGAAATAATATACGGGGGATTTAATTTAAAATAAAAAAAAAATTTAATATAAATAAAGAGAGCAACTTGCTTTTGAAAAAGTAACCATATCTTCCAATATATAATTTTTGCTCACCCTTAGGAAAAAAGTTAAATATAGCACGAAGACTTAGAAAAAACTCATCAGTCATAATTGTAAAAACTCTTTCCCGGTTAGCGCTCACTCTATTATTTAATACTGGCCATTATTATGATAATCGAGTCATTGGGGGAAAATTTTTAAATAAATAAATTATAATTATTAATTATTAATATAGAAAAGAAATTAAAGGATGCAGTGTAAAATATTCGAGTGTAAAGATTAAAATTTAAATATAAATAATTATTATGTAAGTATTCCTTTTTCGTTCCAACATTATAGTTGTACTGAAAAGTAGTAATATTTTACATTGAAAACGACGTATTGGGAGTAAAACTTGATATGAAGGCTGTGAAATTGAATTGTTATTTTTAAATTTAGGTGCTTCCCCAAATAAAAATCGGTTACTCTATTAATATTACTTGTAGATTTGTATGCAAAAGATTGATAATGGATGTGATACCCACCTAAAGCTTAAATGAAGAAGAATAAAGCAAACACGCATAAAAGACAATTAAAAGCCAACACTTGACCGGTAAGCGGTTATACATAGAAAGTATATCTGGACTCAAATAAGTCCATGGAATTGTAAACATAGCTGACTAGTATGTTACCGTATTATGCAGTTACTAGCGCAGCTCATCCAGAGGCTGCTGCGCAACTGTAGGACATAAGTATAATGTGATTAGAGTGTACTTGTAAAATGAAGTTATCTCGACGTACAGTAATATAAGATGCTTGCTGTGGACAATAGTTCAGATGGATGAAATAGAGATCAGTTATAGAACAGTCAAGGTGATGTTAGTCCATGCGGGATTATTGGAGATTAGTGCCTGTTAGTCCTGGAAGACCAAAATGATTTTCGGCTTTACGTTCGCTGGTTGATTCCAGGTGGAGTTGAAAGCGAATGCAACCAACTCAAAGAATCTTACTGTTAATAAAAATTCCAGTTCCACGTAAAATTTTACATTTATCTCTAAAGATTTCGGACATATGTATATTTTTGGTAGTTCGTAGAAAAACACCAAGATCCAATCACGACGCTCCCATAATTGACACATTTACGAAGCTTGCCTATGAAAAGATATTTCACTTAGTTACTTTTAATAATACTAAAAAAATCGGGTTCAAGTTTAGTTATTAAGGTTAGTATAATTTTGGGTTCAAAATCAATCAATAGTCGCAAACAGATGTTGAATTAAATTATGTTTTTTTTTTTTTTTTTTTTTTTTTTTGTTTTGTTAGTGTTCGATTAAATTAAGACTTCCAGAAAATCATTTCGAAATATTCCGTGTATAGTATGAGTTAAGTCAGTTATGGGATTTAACTATACGAGAAAATTTGTTTAACACGGTGTAATAAAGAATAATCACTTCACTCTCTCACTATCTATTACCCTGATTCGAGATTGGCATGTTGAAGGCACTGTTCTATTTATGTTATGCTTTATTATATATTGTTTTTATTCTTTATATTTATTAGACCGAGCATACCAATAGGGTATGGTAGGGTATTAAGATCGCAAAACAAGTTTTTTATTTAATTTTCACTCAAAATGGAATTCAGTGGGTCATAAAATGAGCGATAAAGTGACTAAATATTTTCTTGGGCGTCTTTGTCTGTCTGGACAAGTGTCCGGTTTGTTCGTCTATAAACGGATAACTACCAAAAAAACCCGCTAAACCGATTTTAACCGAATTTTTTTTTAAATATATTATTTTTTCTCTAATGTTTTTTGGTTAGGGTTGGGGGTTTTTTGGTAAGGGGTATTTACACATATATATTTTTATTCAAAAAAGTATGAAGTTAATCAAAATTTGTAATAAAAATCAAAATCAGTCGCAAAGTCGCAGTTTTTTGAGATAAAATAAAAAATTTCTTTTACTTTCAAACTAAAAGAACATATTTAGTGATGGGCAGCTATACGTGGCCTCCCGGCGCCATTTTTTTATTTTATTTTTTATTGCAGATTAGCTTAAAAGGGAATTAAAAGAGTACCCATATTCGGTCCTATGTAAGTAGATACTTTTTTTTTTTTAATAATATGCAATAACATCACTATTCACCTATTAATCTATTAAAAATATATGGCTTTTCAATATTTTACTTATTCACACCCTGTTAGTGCAATGTGTGTAATATTTTCGGTGGAAGCACTTAAGGTCTTCCTTTTCGAAACTTATTTTAGCTTGGTATCGAGAATCAGGAATGAATGAGAACACATATTTACATACCTCCATCCAACACGTGTCTATATTTCCTTTGTTTGATAATATACCGCATTTACATACGAAAAGTTTGATAAGTTTGATAACTATAATCGCTAAATTGTCAAATTTTTATCCTTTTGCTTTGTTCCGTGTTTGGATCAGCCGACGAACATCATTTCTTTTTCGATTTCCAATGACGAGATACGTAGCCCTGGCTCAAGAATTGATACGTCCTTATATCGAGACGATAGCCTCCATCAAAAGTTGGAACTGAAGTAACCAGAGATAGTCGGGAAAAGAGTGAGCGAATATGA